AAAGCTGCGCCTAACCCTCGCGCCCCCCCGACACCGCTGGGGGACAAATCGGGCAACTCCGGCCTCCGTGAGCCTGGTCGATGCCCACGCAGCCTGCCGGGCTTCGATCTCCTTTCCCCGTCCCGGGCTAAGCTCCCCTTCCTGTGCACCTGCGGCCCGGCGCCGCTGTCAGCCTCGCGGCGGAGGGCAGAGCCCGGCGGGCCACCCGAGCAAGAGGTGACAGATGCCAGGGGGTGGCCTAAAAGGCGTGCTTCTAAATGCTGGGCGTAAGACTGAAGAGAAAAATAACCCGAAGTTCAGGGCACGGTGGCGCATGCTTGTGATCCCAGCACCCTCTGAGGGGCTGAGGCAATAAGATTGCAAATTCGAGCCTGGTCTGGGCCACTTCATGATTTAGTGAGACCCTATTTCAAGATAAAAAATAAAAATGTGCAGTTTCTGCTGTTCTTAGCTCTCCTACCAGAATGTAGATGTGAAGTTGCCCCACAAACATACTAAAGATTCCCAAGGCTTTCAAATTTTTTCTATTTTTAAAAATTTTAGGCCTAGCGTGATGGCTTACACCTATAATCCCAGCACTCAAGAGGCTGAAGCAGGAGGACTGCTTTGAATTCAAAGCCAGCCTGGGCTACATAGTGAGTTCAAGACCAGCTGGAACTACATGGCAAGACCCTGTCTCAAAAACAACAACAAAAATTTATTAGTATATGTCTTTGATACATAATAGTTATATTCATTTTGAGAAACTGCTACATATATGTATCAGTTTTTGTTGTTGTTGTTATGACAGAGTCTCGCTTTGTAGTGCAGGCTGGCCTTGTACTCACTATGTAGCCTAGGCTGGCAATCCTCCTGCCTCAGCCTCCCCGAGTGCTGGGATTACAGTCCCCTTCATTTGGGAGGCAAGGTGTCACCAGGGTCACCTACCTGTCGGAGGGGAGATGCTGCCTTGGGAAGCCTGCTGTTGTGGTCCTGTGAGACCGAAGCACTCTCAGCTTGAACCCTGTCCCTGCTCTTTGACCTACTGTCCTGCTCAAGAGCTGACCCTGGACACTGAAAGTTGTATGGGACACGGCTGTCCTCTCGCTCCATTCCACAGAGAGATGAACCGTGCTTTCTCTAATTCCAGTCACCGGAGAGCTTCTATACCAGAGTAACTAATAGCAGAATAACAATCGCTGATGGTTGAGTGCTTATTTGGCAGGTTCTAGGCTACACCCCCTAGAGAATTATCTTGTCTCTAATCTTTGGCAATTTAGTCAGTAGGCACAGTCAACGACGGGCCACCGCGGAGGGGCTTGTTTCCTCCGCGCCAGCTGTTTCTCAGACTCCTTTCCCATGGGGACAAAAGCGGTTACCCCGGGACCTTCACGTGTGGACAGGAGGCCTGGACATGTGTCACAGCGAGTTAACCTTAGCAGCCTGGACCTTGCGTTTTCTGCTCTGTGCTCGGCATTTCAGCCGCAGTGTCCGGCTTCATCCTCTGGAAGGTTTGGCTAATGGCTTCACAAGTGTCGGGCCACGGGCCTGCTCCAGCCGGGACGCTGCACATCTGCATGGAGAGGAGAGCAGGACGCATCTGACACAGGGCCCTGGAGCCCGGCAGCAGCGGTGTGGAAGAAGAAAGGCAGAGGGAGGAGACCAACCTCAGCCGGAGGTGTACCTGACACCCGGTTTATTCTAGGAAAGGCCCCTGCTAGGGACACAGTGACACAAACTGGCCCCTCCTCGTTGTCAGGATTCATCTCCCAGAACATCTTCAGGAAGGAGGTCTGGCCCACCATGGCTGTGTCCAGTTGCCTGACATTCTCCACATCATTAGATGCCCACCGTGAGCCCAGGCTGGCCTCAAACTCGTGCTCACCCCCTGCCTGAGCCTCCCGAGTCCTGGGATGATGAGTGCACGCCACCACACCCAGCTCCTAGATCCCAATTTGAAGTGTCTTGAGGGCTGTTTAATCCTCTCCCTAAGATATTACCAAGACCATGCATTTGGGATGCAAATTAGACCCCACTTTACGCAGAACTGAGAAGGCAGACAGCTGGCATCACTGGGACTCATGAAAGGATGTGTGCGACAGTCCCTGCCCTGCCTTGCTGACAGTGTGCGTGACCAGCCCAGCCTCTCTCCAGCTTCATATTGCTCCATCCTAGCCCATCAGATCTGTGGATGCACCACGCTCCTTCCTGCCTCAGGGCCTTTGCACATGCTGTTACTACTGTCTGGAATTCACTTCCTGTTTGCCTGGTTAGTGAACTCAGCTATTGCTTCAGATGTTACTTCTTAATGGATGCCTTCCCTGAATGCCCTGCCCTGTGCTTGCTCTATCTCTGCTGTCACAGTATCCCACAGCCTCCCTCCCTGGCATGCACTGCTCCTTCCCTGACCTTGTTTGATTAAGATCTGTCTCTCTCACTGGGCTGGAAATGAGGATAAAGCCTGTTTTGCTCACGGCCAGTCTTGGGTGACCAGCAGGGCCACTGTGTGCTCTGGATGATTTCCCTCCTTTGCTGGGCAAACTAAGCCTGCACCTGGCTGACGACCCGGAGGTTGCTATCCGCAGGACTGATGGATGTGTGCTCTCCATCCCATAGATCTACTGCAGACCGTCCTGGGCTTTAACCTGCTTTGGCCGTGGTGGTGCTGATAGATGTGTCTGGTTTCTTAATCGCGTCTGATGTGCCTTTTCCTGGCACACGGCAGGTTGCTGAGTAATGCTCCCACGGGCTCGGAGCGCTGAGCCTTGTGAGAGATGCCCTGCGAGGTGCCCTAATGATCGGCCTCTTGAGGCCAAGGGAAGCAGAGCCTCGCACCTGCAAAGCCACCACCAAGTTACCGCCTCCTATGGTGACCCGAGCTTGGAGTCACCACGGGAGGACCCCAAGGCAGGACCACGGAGGGAAGCCCTGATCGTTCCACCCGAGCAGGACAAGGTCCCACGCTCAGCCTCTTCCTGAGCCCACAGAGCCGGCCTCCCCCTCGGCAGCCTCTGCGTTCTAAGCACCCTAACTGTTGGGTTAAACTTGTTCTCGTTTGTGTATTGTTTTGATTCAAAATCAACTTCTTTCTTTTATTTTCTCCTTTTTTTTTTTTTTTTTTGAAAAGGGATCTCACTATATAGCCCAGGCTGGACTTGAGCCTCCCGAGTGCTGGGATTACAGGCCATGGACTACTATCCCCGGTGAAATCAATTTCTTTTGGGATATTTCTACTTCTGCTTAAAAGATCTGTCCACAAATTCTAAAAATACCCTCATATCAGTCTTTTCCAATGCTGAGATCATTTCTGGTAGGCAAATTATAGCATAATTCAGTCACTTCTTAAGATGATCTGTTGCTGACCTTAAGAATGATGATGATGGCCAGGAATAATGGTGCATGCTTATAAATCCAGGATTTGGGAGGCTGAGGCAGGAAGATTGCTGTAAGTTCAAAGGCAGCCTGGGCTACACAATGAGTCCAAGGCCAGCCTAAACTACATAGCAAGACCCTATCCCCTCCAAAAAAGAAAAAAAAACCTAACCAGGTGTGATGGTGCATGCCTGTAATCCCAGCACTTGGGAGGCTGAGACAGGAGGACTGCTGTGAGTTCGAGGCTAGCCTGGCCTACATAGTGTGTTCAAGATCAGCCTGAACTAAATACTGAGACCCCAGGGCTGATGATATAGCTCAGTAGCACAGCAGCTACCTGGCAAGCATAAGGTCCTGAGTTTCATTCCTGGTACAAATAAATAAATAAATAAATACTCAGACCCTGTCTTGAAACAAATAAAAAAGATCCTACAAATGTAAAACCTAAAATCTATTTTTCTTGCAACTATTTTCAACATACACACACAGACACAACTAGATTAGGTGCTGCTGATACTACAATCCTGTGAGCTAAAAATACTTTTGGCCATACAGTAATGTTTAATTCTTTTTAAGTCCTTAGTTCCCTGAAGTTTTTCTGCCTAGCATTAAGCAGAGCAGCCACTCCGAAGTGGCTCTGAGCAGGATTTAATATTCACCAACGGCTTCCCATGTTTATGTGTTTATGGCCTGAGGCCTAGGCTCTTGTCTGGAGATGGGTAACGGACTCATAGTAAGTGAACCTCTGTGAGTCACTGGTCACCACTGAGGCAGTATTGGCCTGTGAAGCTGTGATGCCTCAGAGGACAAGATAGGGCCACAGCTGAGGATGTCTGGCTCCAACTCCAATTAACTACAAGGAGACTGTAGCTGCAGGCATCTCACTCCTGCGGTGAAGGCCTTCCTGGAGATAACAGAGTTCTCCCAAATTAACAGAAAGTATTACTTGGAGAAGTCCTTACGAGGATTCCCAAGTCCTGCCCAGATTCCTGCCATTTTCTTCAGTCTTCCCCTCCTTTTTTTTTTTTTTTTTTTAGTTTTTTTTAGTTTTTTTTAGTTTTTCTCCAGTACCGGGAACCAAACTCACGACCTTGCGCTTGCCAGGCAGGCGCTTTTGCCGCTGAGCTAAATCCCCAGCCCCCAGTCTTCCCCTCCTTTGTTTGAAAACCTAATAAACACCCGCTGCCGGGGAAGTCTTGGTCTTAACCCAGAGAGTCCTGAATTCTGTGAGAGGGTTGAACCCTCCGGGAGCCCTACAATCATTCCGACTGTCTCATCTGTTTAAGGCTTCGCCGTCCAGTCTTTGGGAGATTGCGGGCCTGCTCAGCCGCCAATGCCTGGCCCTGGCAGAGGGGCTGTGGTGGTGCCCACCCGCAGAGCAGCACGGCCAAGCCCACCGCGCCCCTTTGCAGCACTCTGATTCGGAAGCCAAAGCGGGCGGCCCTCCCAGCCCTGGGAAAAGCATCTCCGAGCGAACGCTGAGGCCTCCAACAAAGCGGCGTTTGTCCAGCACGACAGCATTTGCTCTCTGAAATGCTTAAAAACACTCCTGTTCCCGGGGAGCGGCGCTCGCCAGGTCTGGCTTACAGTGACTGACCTGCCTTACTATGTCCCTGTGCCTTGGAGGAAACCAAAGAAGAGTGCTTTTGTTTACTATTAAAAATAGTTTTTATTGACTGAAACTGATCAGCTCTCTTAGAAGGGACACAGAGGCATTTTCTTTAAAAAAATTAAATTACAAGTTAAAATGGAGGTGTTTTGTTCTTTAATATAAAAACCCATACGAAGCTCGATCTCCCGGAGCCTGTCCCCGAGAGCAGGGCGGACAAGGCCCAAAGCCCCGAGGCCGCGGCCGCGGCTGGGCACAACAGGGCGCAGCAGGGCGCAGGGCTCCCGGCGAGGGCGGCCGATGCCGCAGTTGGGGGTCTCCAGGCCGGGCAGCAGCCCCCTCGGCCCTCGGCGTCAGATGCCGCCGGGAAGGCGCACAGGCCTCACGCTGCGTCCACCTCGCTGCGGGCACCAGTCTCTGGGGAGGAGAACGAAGGCCGTCACAGCCGCGTCCCAGACGCTGACGGCCCCTCCGCCCGTGAGGCCGAGCTCCTGCGGCCCAAGGGTGCGCGCGGCTCTGCAGAGGGCAGCGGAGAGGGCCGGGGCACGGGGCTCTCGGGCTCACCCCGAAGACCTCAGCCAGGGCTGCGCTCTGCTGACTTCGATCCTGAAGAAGCTGCACAAGAAATGGGGTCCGACCGAAGGCAACCAGACCGAGGAAGTGCCCACGGCCGCGCACTCTGGACAAGCTCCAACCCCGCCTAAGCGCTTCTTGGCGGGGAGGCGGCTGGGTGACTGTTAAAGCCGGTTCCCTGGACTCACTCCCTCAGATTTAAAATTCGGGGTACTAAGCCCAAGAGCCCTCTGACTGCATCTCTCTTGCAAGGAACTGACATTTTGCTCTGACTGCATCCGGAAGGTATGTACAGTACAAATAGGGCAAGCAAGGGGAAAGACTGCTGGTCAAACATGCGCGGCCCTGCCTCCACATTATCCATCTCCCCAGTTACTTATTAAGCACCGGCGGTGATGCAAGGATACAAGGCATGACAGGCGAAGGTGACTTACCCCGGACTTCTGTGAACACTGGACTGGACTTTGTTTTCTTCAGGGTCTGACCAAGGTGTTCTTCGGAGCTGACTCTTCTGAGATTTCTAAGTTCTAGAAAACAACTCCCAAATGAGTATCCGGGATAGAGAAAACAGAAAATACTTAAGACTATACACAAATATAACAGATATGCTTTTTTCCCCCGTACTGGGAACTGAACGCAAGGCTTTCACACTAAGCTGCATTCCTGTCCCTTTTTTTATTTTGAGACAGGGTTGGGGCTGGGGATTTAGCTCAGCGGCACAGCGCCTGCCTGGCAAGCGCAAGGCCGGAACCCAAATCCCCGAAACAGAAAACAAAACAAAACAAAACAAAAAAACAACAGACAGGGTGTCACTGGTTGTCCAGGCCGGCCTTAAACTTGCGATCCTCTTACCTCAGCCTCCCCAGTAGCTGGGATTACAAAACTGTGCCACCGCACCCAGCAGAAGGCCTTTCAGAGACCTTCAAGAATTAGTGAAGTAGAATGAGTAATTCCAAACTGTCATCCATCCGATGAAGACATATTGGTTCTCAATTCACATGCGGGGTTCCCTGTCCCACGGCACAGAAGGTTGCCCCACTGGCCGTAATCCCGTCCGGCTGCCCTGCCGTCAGCTAATGCCCAGCCGCCCGGGCGTCCTCAGCCCTAACGCAGCACAGACGGCCCTCGGCAGTGAGTCCGCAGCTCTGCGAGCTGCCGCATCAGCGCCTGAGCACTTGGCCAGACTTGTGGGGGGGTTGCGGGGGGCATGAAGTGAATCACAGTTGCCAGGGGCTGGGGAGACCGGAAATGGAGACTTACGATCTAACAGGCATGGGATCCCAGGCACACAAGACGGAAGAGCCACAGAGAGGACAGGGACAGGGGCTGCATGACGCAGGAGTGCATTTACTACCACTGCACGTCCACTTCAAAACTGGTGCAATGCAAATACTTTGGTTTACTCTGATGTGATAAAAACATGGAAACCAAAAAAGCCTCATGATTCTAAAAGGGATCTGCAGGCTTTACCTACCTGCTACACATAAAAAAAGATGAAGAACCCTGACAGACAGATGACACACGGTGTGGTAGAAAAATACAATGAATTTTTAATTTAATTTTTTGGGGGGGTTTTTTGGGGGGGGGGTCGAACTCAGGACCTGGCGCTTGCCAGGCAGAATTTTTAATATAAAAAATGTATTACAGAGCTGGGTGTGGTGGGGCATACCTATAATCCCAGTACTCAGGAGGCTGGGGCAGGAGGATCTCTGTGAGTTTGAGGCCAGCCTGGGCTACACAGTGAGAGGGACCCTGTCTCAAAAAAAAAAAAGTTATTACAGTGAAAGACACGTTGTCAGTAATCCCCCTCAAAATTGTCCTCCTCACTTCCACACACTTATCCCATCATTCCTGCAACTTTCTGAAGCAGCTCTGCGAGTCCTCTTTCAGGAGTGTCTTTATCCTGCTGTGGCTGCTCAATGTCCTGAACCGGCTCCAGACGTTTATCTTTCACGGTCATTCTGACTGTGGGAGGAGTGAGAAGGCGCAAGGGCCAGCCCCGGAGAATGCGACGGATGCGAACGTTGTAAGGCAGCCCTTCCTGTGGCTGCGCTCGGCAGGGCAGCAGCATGTGCTGCACTCTGACCACACCTCGTGATGACACTCGGGAAAGGGGGCCCCAGGGCTGCTTCACAAACTGGCAAGAAGGACAGTGAGTTTTTCGAAGCGAGCGGGAGGACTCTGGCAACGTGTCTCACTGTAAAACATTTTTAAAAATACATTCGCCGTTTGGGGATCACACCGCACAAGCCCTGCCGCCGGCCGTGCGCGGAGGGTGCCTCCGGAAGCCTCAGCCGGAGCACTGTTCGCACTCAGCCCTGTCGCCCCGGCTGGCCGGGGCTCCGCAGCTCCAGCCGTCTCGCCCTGGGGTGAGCTGCCCCCTGCACAGACTCGGCCTCCCTCACGCAGTCCCCTGCGCGCTCTGGGCAGCCTCCGCGCTCCGTGACGATGAAGCAGTGCTGTGATGAAGAGCTTGTGTTCGTGCCGAGGCAAGGAGGGGAGATCCTCAAAGCGACACTGCTTTGTTAAAGGACCAGGTCATCCGTGGCTGGAGAAAACCCTGCCAGTTCCCTGCCCAGAGACCTGAATCATCCTGGCCACCCGCATGGGGGGGGACATGGGTGATGTGGGTAAGGGACTGTTTCACAGAAAAGCCCCGAATGAACACACTGTCTTTAGCTACAAATGGTGGTGCCTTTGTGAGGCAGACAGAAAGCTCAGAACTTTATCCTGCTTCCTTCTGCAAAAATTAAGAATATTGAGCCAAGCATGGCGGCACATGCCTATAATCCCAGCACTTAGGAGGCTGAGACAGGAAGATCGCCATGAGTTCAAGGCCAGCCTGGACTACACAGCAAGACCCTGTCTCAAAAAAAAAATGTTTTTGCTTTGTTTTTCCATCTCTAGAATGAGTTAATCTACCAGAAAATATATTACATTTGCAGACAGTCTTTTTTTTAATTAAATGATCTTCTGATTCTAGCCATGGGCTGCTGAGCAGATTTACCCCTATTTCTCACCTGTCAAGTGAGAGGCTGGGTGGAATTAGTGATCTCTTCTGGGCCTCAGTAACTCAAAAAGTCCCTTAAGCCATGTTTTCACCCAGCGCAAATAGTGGTCACACTTTCAGTGCCCATGAGCTCGCGGCCGGCCTTTCTTCCGCACCTTCCCTGCCAGCTCCGCTGCGGTCGTTACCAAGCACCCCCCAGCAGACACCACTGATCACCAGCTGTGATGTGTGATGGAGACAAGTATGCAAACACACGCGTGCACTCACACACACACTCGCCACACATCCATAGACCGAGACCAGGGCTCTCCTCTTCACACGCTAGATTGCGGCTTGACGTGAAAGCCTGTCAGCCCGCTCGCCCTCACTGTACCAAGAGCTGAGCTCATCAGCAAGAGGCGAGAGTTACTCTGCTCCCTATTTTGGAGGTGCGGGCCCACGACTGCGGCCTGGAGGTGAGGAGGCACCACCGCAGAGCAGCGGGCTGCTCTCCCCACAGTAAGAGCAAGCGAAGCCCAGAAGCGGGCAGGGGTCCTGACGGTCCCCCAGGCCTCAGCCCTGCACTCTAGCCTCCTCCCGTGAGGCTCCTCCTGAAGGGCCCACCCCCAGAACCCCGGGGTGGTGCAGACCCAAGGACAGCCAGGCCTAGGGGAGAGGGACGGAAGGGCCCGAAGCCACAAATGATGGAGCCTACGGGCAGATGGGCCTGGAAGACGGTTCTGCGGGGCGCTCGGGGCCAAAGCACAACTGGGCTCCAACAGTATGATGTGTTCACAGACAACGTGAGCACACAGGAACTTCATGTCTAAGTCAAATTCTAGGCACAAGAAATGCGGGTGAACGCCCCAGTTGAACGGCGCCACTAGAAATACACAAGATCCCCCCAAGACCCCCACACCTGCTGAGACGATGGCATTCAAGCGCAGGTCTCTTCCAAGGTCAAGGGTCAGCTTCGCACAGCATCTGTGCACTTAGTAACGCTTAACGGATGTAAAACTGTCCTACTAGTTCGTTATATACAGTCCGCCAGGAAGTGTGTGCGCACTTCCGCAGCGGTCCGTACTGGTAAATGTCACGGCCGCCACTGTGAGCACCTCTTGTAGAGGCCAAAGGTAACCGACGTGACGCTTACGATGTCTCAGTGAATTCAGTATTGAAATACTCGTGCACGTTTCTCTTTCCCTGATGTATATTCTGTCTGTCTGAGACAAGCTCCTGAGGAAATGTGTGGTGCGGGGGGAAGCTGCAGCTCGGATTCCTGACTTCCCTCGGAGTTACGGTAACAGTGCAGCGTGGCGCTGTCTAAGGAGAGCCTGATGACCCGGGGGCATGGCCCGGAGTCCACAAGGGCTCAGCTGACAGGCAGCAAAGCCCAAGGAGCAGGCACCTTTTCAGCCAATGGCGCTGGGAGAACAGCCCTAACTGTTACTTCATCCTGCACACAAAGATTAAGTCTCAATGATCCACAGACCGCAATCTCAGTACAGCATGTGTCTACAACTTCTAGCAAGAGAAAGTAGTCACCACGCCAGAATAGACATCTTAGGACACAAAAAGCACCATTAAAAACAACCACAGCTGGATGTAGTGGCACACATCTACAATCCCAGGACTAGGGAGGCTGAGGCAGGAAGATCACAGTAAATTCAAAGCCAGCCTTGTTTTTTTTTTTTGAGACCCTGTCTTAAAAACAAAAACAAAACTGTTAGGTTCAACCTCATCAAAATTTAAAATTTTTGCCACGCATGGTGGCACATCCGGTAACCCCAGCACTCAGAAGGCTGAGGCAGAAAGATCCCAGGGAGATCAAAGCCAGCCTGAACTACATAGTAAGATTCTGTCTCAGAAAACCAGAAAGAAAAGAAAAAGTTAAAAATTTTTGTTCTTCAAAAGATACTTAAGAGCTAGGTGCCATGGTGCATGCCTATATCTCAGCATCTGAGAGGCTGAGGCAGAAGGATCACTGCAAGTTGGAGGCCAGCCTGGGCTACAAACTGAGGTTAACTGCATAGTGAAACATTGTCTCAAAAAGACAAAGAAAAAAAAAGGATGCTTAAGAAACTGAAAAGACAAACCACTTATGGGAAGAGCAGATTCACAGTGTATCTGACAAAGGACTTGCTTCCAGACTATAGAAAGAACTCCTACAACTCCATAATAACAAAGAAAACAACTCACTTTTAAAATAGGTAAGACTTCAATAGACACTCCATAAAAAAAGACAGTAAAAAAGTAGAAAAAAACCCACAAGAGCCAATAAATGCATAAAAAGATGCATATTATAAGTCAACAGGAGAAAAACACAAATTAAATTGCAAGGAGACACCATTTCGTATTTAAGAACAGTTAGAGTGAAACAGACCGGGAGAGCCCCGAGCTCCACACAGGAGAGGCCTTGGAGCGCCAGCCAGGAATGTTGTGCAGCTGGCAGGAGTGTGAAATGGCAGAGCCAACTCGAGACACAGCTTGGCACTTTATTAAGAGGTGAAACAAAGGCCTATTCTAGAACCAACAATTCTACTTCTTGGTTTTTACTCTGAAGAAATGAGATCATAGCTAGGCACAGTACACTCCCAGCACCGGGACGCTGAGGTAGAAGGACCCCAAGTTTGAGCCCAACCTGGCCAACTCACAACTTAGAGAGACCTCATCTCAAAATTTAAAAAACGTTAAAAGGTTGATGATGTAGCTATGAGTACAAGTAAAGCAAAAAAAGAAAATTTGTGGGTGTGGTTTTAAATTGTTGCGGTGGCACCTGGAATCCCAGCATTTAGGAGGTTGACACAGGAGGATCCAAGTTTAAGGCCAGCGTGGGCTACACACTGCAACCCTGTCTCAAAAAACGAAACAAACAAACAAAAAAGAAACAAAAAAGGTCTACTATTAAAATATTCGTATTCATTGGTAAGAGTCTTAACCTGGAAACAAGTCAAATGTCCCACCGACAGGCGAGTAAGGGATCTGTGGTACAGTCACATGGAATATTAACCTGCAATAAAAGGGAATGAGGCACTGGTACCCAACACATGAATGAGTCTCATTACCGTGTTAGAAGCAGCCAGATAAAGTGTGTACACCGTATGGCCACCTTTATCTGCAGGTCTGGAACAGGCAAAACTAGTCTCCTGATAAAAATCAGGTCAGTAATGGGCTGGGGTGGGGAGGGGAAAACACATTTCAAAGAGCATACGGGAAACTTCCCACGACAGAAACGCTCCGCATCTTGACTAAAATATTGGTTCGCGGGTGCGTACACCTGGGTCCAAACTTATTCAACCCATGTGATCTATACTAGCTTTTCAATAAAGCACCGGGACAGGCACTAAAGACATTCTTAATAAACGTCTTCATTTTGTTGTATTTAACTTATATTTCAGTAAGTTCCTTTCCTTTTTTGATTTCGCTGTGTTGGGGTTGTAACCCAAGGCCTTGCAACTGCTAAGCACTCTGCTGTAAGGTACATTCCTTGACAAGGTTTATTTTAGTAGAAAAATACTTCAGTGTTCTTCTAGAACTTTTTTTTTTTTTTTTTTTTGAGACAGGGACGGTCTTGATACGTAGTCCAGGGTGGCCTTGAACTCACTATGGACCCCAGGCTGGCCTCAAACTCACAGAGATCCTCCTGCCTCAGCCTCTGAGTCCTGGGATGACAGGCATGTGCCACCACGCCCAGCTTATAGAACTTTTCTCTTTATTTTGCTCTTCAGTCAGGGATACAGAATGCTCTTTCCTCAGTGGCTTTTTGTTTTGTTTTGCGGGGGGGATTTGGTTTGTTTTTTGTGTTGTTTTTTTTTTTTTGTATTAGGAATTGAACACAGGCCTTCACACTGAGCTATATTCCCAGTCTTCTTTGATTTTGCGACAGCGTCCCCAAGTCAGTAAGCTGCCCCGGCTGGCCTCAAACTTTCAGTCTTCCTGTCTCGGCCTCCCAGAGTACCAGGATTACAAGTTTGTGCCAACACCCACACGTCAGATACCCTTAACTACGCACACGGCACACCCACGCTCGGCACCTGGACTCCCACTGTACCAGTCGGAGCTGTTATTTAACCACCAGGACAACCGTCCCGACTTCGCGCACAGAGTTTTCACTCTTCACCTCGAGGCTGTAAAATCTCACCGTTGCTCCTGAAATGTTACCGTGCTCAGAGCGAGCCAGACAGCGCGCACGTGAAGCGCTCCCTGAGAGGACGCTCCCTGAGAGGACGCTCCCTGAGAGGACGCTCCCTGAGAGGACGGCGGGTCTAGAAAACGACTACCCCACGGTGTCGGACGAGGTCATGCACCTAACCACCACCACTAATGGACGCTGAGTCACTCGGTGAGCTTCCGGGATCCTGACAGCATTAACTCTCAGGCCGCAGCTGCCTCGTGCGCCCATGCAGCAGATCCCTGGGACAGGCAGACACCAGGGCTCCTGACAGGGCAGGACGCGGGCGGAGAGCACCTCCAACCGCACAGGAGCCAAAACAAAGCGAATGGACCCCAGCCCCAGACTGAGCAGGAGCCCGACCGGGCTGCTAGGTGCACGTCAGTCTGTAGGAATGGGGCGGAGCAAGGGTTACCACAAGGGTAGACCTGGCCAGGCCCTCCAGGAGAATGACCCAATCCTTCGCTCACAAACGAACGCAATTAAAAACATAACAGGTCGGGGTACAGCTCCACCGAGGAGCACTGCCCAGCAACTGGGAGGTCCTGGGTTCAATCCTCAGCCCCCAAAACAAATCGAAAAGATGGAGCACAACGAAGAGGGAGAGAGAGGAAGGAGGGAAGGAGAGGAAAGCAGACGAAAGGAACAAAAAACAGTGAGGAGAGGGACTTTAAGGGAGATATGCAAAGCATGGCTCTGAGCGACCATGTGGATAGTGTGTGTGTGTGTGTGTGTGTGAACCCAGGAGTGCTCTACCCCTGAGCTACATCCCCAGCCCTTCATTTGAGACAGAGTCTCACTACACTGGCCAGGCTGAGCTCAAGCTTGTGATCTTCCTGCCTCAGCCTCCTGAGTAGCCAGGATTACAGGTGTGTGCCACTGTATCCATCTATTATAGTTTTTTAAAAGTCTATATCTGATGTAGATAATCTATGAAATATTTATGAGTGAAATGATATGATGCCTCAGATTTGCTCTACCATAACTCAAAAGAAGACATGTATGGACAGGGGATGTGGAACAAAAATGACAGGAACGTGATGACTGTTGAAGGCCAGTGTATTATTTTTCCTACTTTTGTGTATATTTGAAATTTTGTATTAAAAAATTTTTTTTAATACAAGGTTTCACTTTCTAGTTCAGGCTAGCCTTAAACTCACTATGGAGCCCAAGCTGCCCTTGAACTTGCAGCAATCCTCCTGCCTCAGCCTCCCCAGTGCTGGGATTACAGGATCGAGCCACCATGGCCGACTTTGAATTTACAATTTGAAAAAAACTTTTTTTCTTCTAAATCCTCAAGTTTGAGCTGCGGGTATAATTCAGTGGTAGAGTGCATGCATGAGCTCCTGGTGTCATAGACAGCTAAGTTAGGTAGGAATATTGTAGGTCAGACAGGGCTGGACCCTGAGTGATCAGTGCATAAGACAGCTCTGGCGGAGGCGCACTCACTGAAGGGGCTTCAGGAAAAAGAGGGAGGACTACATCCACCCACTCCCCGTGGGACGGACAGCAGTGACTGATATTCCAGACAGACATCTGCACCTTAGCTGGGGGACAAACCTCCTTAGCTCACCCCTCCCAGGAAAGCCCCTGTCTGCCCGGCGCTTGCCGGGGCGGGACTTGTTTCCCCACTTGAGCCCCGCTTCATCACCATCACCCAGGTGCCTACACTCGCTGCAAACTTCTTGGTTCACTGTAGTTTTGTCCCACCTCACACTCACCCTCCAACTTCCCACTGGATCCATATTACCTAGGCAACTGTACTTGTGATCTCATTGACTGATGATGTTCTGTCCCACTGTAAGCCCGCCTCCCCTCTGGCTTTGCTCTATAAAACACCCTTGAGAAGCACAGTTCTTGAAGAACCTATCTTCCAGGCCCCTTTCTGTCCCTCTCAGAGGGAAGCTTTCTTTCTCTCAATAAATTCATCCTACTCTTAACCTCCGTTGTTCCTAGAATTCATTCCTCGCTTTTAGAGAATACGAACTTGACGTTTCGGACATCTAGCAGGTTGGGAGTTTCTTTCCCCTATATCAGTAGGTTCCAGCCTAAACTGCAAGAAGAAAGAACAAAAAGCTCCATGGGAATTTCTATTCCTGCGGCTCAGGCCAAGAGGCAGAGCAGCTCGCTGTAGAAACGGTGAGCTGCGTGTGGCGCCGTCTCCCATGGATCAGGCCGGCCGGCCGGCCCTCCGGGAGAGCAGGAGGAAACCAGCGGAAAGGCGGCCACGGAGCCGCACCTGCCCCCTGCCCCGCACCCAGAGGGGACACGCACGCTTCTGGTGCCGCTGCCGCGGTCCTGGCCGCCGAGGGGCAGCAGCGTGCTCAGCTCCAGGTTGGTGACCATCTGCCGGGACTCGGCCAGCAGCCGCTGCAGCTTGCTCGTGGGTGAGAAGTCGTCCTGGGGAGAGAGCGCGCTTTAAGCACCCAGGAAACCCAGAAGCAGCTTGAAGTGACTTTCAAGCGCTTGCAGACTGGCGGCCACAATGTCAACTACTGCCGGCCGTGGTGGCACTGGCCTGTGAGCCCGGCACTCGGGAGGCTGAGGCAGGAGGATCACTGGGAGTTTGAGGCCAGCCTATGCTACAAAGTGATTTCTAGGTCAGTCTGAACTGTACAGCAAAACACTGTCTCAAAAAAAGAGACCAAAAAAAAAAAAGTTAACTACCTGTTACCAGTTGACTTGGACTACTATAAGCGAAGCAGGATGTCAAATACTAGAATAGCTAGATTCTGGAAGAGCCAAATTCCATTTCTTTCTTTCTTTCTTTCTTGGCTAAATTCCTTTTATTTCTTAGAAACTTCTCAAATCATGTAGCTTAACTGAACTTACTCCCATTGAGTAGCATTCATTTGACAAAAGAATTCGAGGCTTTGTTTGGCTTTCCCACACAAGCACTTCAAGCCATAAGGAGCAGGTCATCGGAACGTGAAAGAGCTGCAAGTCTTTAGAGTACATGGATGCGTGCTTGAGTTTATTCTTGTTCATTTTCAAGTTCGGGGGTTTGACCCCCAGTACCACAAATAAATAAAGTGAATTAGTGAAGAAAAACATACAAACAACATCATGCAATGTTTCTGAATTACTTTTTTGGGGAGGTGGATGCTGAGGACTGAACCCAGGGCCTGCACACTGAGTTGCAGTCCTACCCAACTATTTCTTTTTTTTGGTACCGGAAATTGAACTCAGGACCTTGCAACTGCCAGGCAGCACTGTGCCATTGAGTTACATCCCTAGTCCCCACCCTACATTTTTTTTTCTTTTTAAGACAGGGTCTCGCTACACAGTTCAGCCTGGCCTTGAGCTCACTTTGTAGCCCATGCTGGTCTTGAACTCACAACAATCCTCCTGCCTCAGCCTCCCAAGTGCTGGGATTACAGGTGTGTACCACCATGCTAGTGCCCACCCTACTTTTCAAAGTTTTATTTTGAGGATCTTGCTGAACTGCCCAGGCTGGGCTGGAATTTGCAGTCCGTATTGCCGGAATTACAGGCATGGGCTGCGGTGCCTGGCTTTATGTGTGTGTACTTTTACGCAGTAAAAGCATAAAAACAAGATTGCAAGCAGCTTCTACACGGGGCTGACCTGGCAGAGCCCGGCTGGAGACAGCAGCAGGTAGGACGCGCACACTGCCTGCCACAGCTTATTTCTTTAACCAGACAGGAAACCAAATATGCTACAACGTGCAGCTGTTGAATCTGGATGTAGGTGCACAGCGGCAGTGTGGACTGTCTTCTTTTTCTTCTTGTGATGTTTAAAATACGTATTGGGCTGGGGATCTAGCTCAGTGGCACCATGCCTGCCTGTCAACCATGAGGTTGTGAGTTCAATTCCCAGTACCAAAAATAAAAAATAAGCTGGTTGTGGTGGTGCATGTCTGTAATCCCAGCACTCGGGAGGCTGAGGCAGGAGGACCATTGAGTTCGAGGCCAGTCTGGGCTACAAAGTGAGCTCAAGGCCAGCCTGAACTGCACTGCAAGACCCTGTCTCAAAAAGACAAAAACAAAACAAAAAAAAACCTCCATTTTTATGTCACTAGCTTCTTTTGTTTGTAGGGTGGTTTTTTTGTTTTTGAGATAAGGTCTCACTATGCAACCCCGACTGGCCTCGAACTCTCAGCAGTCCTCCAGCCTCAGCCTCCAGAGTGCTGGGCTCACAGGCGTGCGCCACCACACCCAGCTGTGGTTATGTCACTGGAAAGGGCTTGCTCCAAGGACTCTTAGGACAACCACGAGAGCTACAGGCTGCTGTTTGCAGTCACTGGATAAAATATTTATTAATTAAAAATAAACGTATCAGTGACCTGGCAGGCCTAATGGGCATCCTGCCTAAAGCTGACTGATGGCATATTTAGAAAAGAAAGAAAGCCAGAGTCTTGGACTTCAGTTAATCAAATAATCCAGAGAAGAGAACGCTGACCCACAGCCCCAGCCTGCTACGCAGCCAGAGCTATAGAAATAACTGAGCTGCGCAGATTGGGCTGGGATTTCCCACGAGAAGCCCACGAGATGGGTCTTTTCTGCCCCCGATCAGAGGTTCTCAAGTGTAAGTGTGCACCAGCTGTTGCCGAGGGGTGCTGCAGCGCGTGCCCTGGCTCCCCCCGCTGCTGCCCTAGCCGTTCCCAGGCCGGCTGCGGTGCCCGGCCCAGAGGACACGTTTTGAGAAGAGCCGCTGCTCTTAATAATGCTGTCTGCCTTCTCTTGCCTTCCTTCAGGCTCTGCGGGTAAAAAACCAAAATTTTTTGAAGAATTAAATTTGTTGAATCAAAGTTTATTTCTCCTATTCATCCTTTGAAGGCAGATGGTAAGCCCACCTTTAGAAAGGAGGAAAAGGGTTCTTCACTTAGGCAGCCCTTCAGTGAAGGAGAAGTACCCAACCCTGCTGTAGTTCCTTTACAGGAAAGATGCTGGCAGAAGCTACACAGACCCAAGAGTTGCAGCGCTCTCTCTCATTAGCAGAACGGAGGTTTAAATTTGTGATCCTGGTATCTTGGTAACTCATACATGTTAGGTGTTGTCCTATAAAATGAAACCCTATTTATTTATTTATTAGGTTTTGAGACGGGTCTCACATGTAGTTTAGGCAGGACTTGAACTCACTATGTAGCCCAGGTTGGCCTGGAACTCATGGGGATTCTCCTGCCTCAGCTTCCCAAGTGCTGGGATTACAGGCGTGCGCCCCCTTCCTGGCTGGAACCTTACGTATTATACACACATCACTGTGCGTATCTCTGCAGTGAGGTATCTGTGAGTGAGGTCATCAGCGTGTCACCTGTCTCCCCGGAGACTTTGCTGTTGCCAGGGTGTGCATTTACACAAGCTGCTGGGTGGTAATCTCTGGCGCACTTTCTGTACTGCCTCTCGTTTTCTTTGTATAGGTTCTAGGGACTCAACCCAGGGCCTTTCACTGGGCTATGTCTCTATTCCTTTTTTGTTTTTTATTTTGAGATAGGGTTTTTCTAAATTGCTAACTTGCCCAGGCCAGGCCTGAACTTGCGATTGTCCTTCTCCCAGAGTACTGGGGTATAGCTTTGCACCACCACACTGTCTTCTTGTCTTTTTTACCTTTTTAAAAAATTTTGAGATAAGATCTCACTAAATTTCCCACTCTGGCCTCAAACCTGTCAGCCTTCTGCCTCAGTCTCCCAAGTAGCTGGGATTATAGATATGTGCTGTTGGGTTTATTTATATTACTATTCTGTTTTCTTTTTTGGGGACAGGATATGTAGCCCAGGCTGGCCTCAAACTCTCAAACTCTCTCAATCCTCCCGCCTCAGCCTCCCCAAGTGCTGGGATTATAGGTATGCAACACCACATCCAGTTTGTTGGTTTTTAAAAAAAAATATCAAATTGCTCCCCAGAAAAGCCATGCAGATTCTCTAGAGAAAAAAGAAGACTGCACAAAAAGAACCTTAAAAAATCCTATCATTTAAAAAAACTAAGGAATGGCCAAAATTAAACTATAGTTCTCCGGAACACATTTGAGGCAGAAGTTTTACTTGAATAAGCTGGGACATTAAGAAAATACAAACCTTTTCGCTGGCCAGTGCTGCATCTTTGTTGATTAACAAACTTGTGGGTGAGCTCTTTTCATCAGGAGAGGCCTCTGTCTCATCTTCCCTCGCTGTGCACTTTGCCAAACAATGGGACCGTTGGATGGCAGTCAGCTCACTGTGAAGTGAAACCAGACAGAGGGGAATCTCAGAGCGGAGCGGGGTCGTGGGCATCACTTTGCCGTACTTCCGGAAGGCTGCTGGTGACGTGCAGAGGCTCAGGCTGGAGCAGGACGGTACAAAGTGGAGGCTATAAACGAATGCACACCTTTTGCAACTGAGAAGGGGGCAGGATGGGGGCCTTTCCTCCTCCACAAAGCACAGAGGATGCGGGTGGAGTGCAGGGGCACAGTACTCGCTTCCTTAGCAGGTTCAAGGTCTTGGTTTAATCTGGGTACCAAGGAAGAGAGACAGACAGACAGGAAGTCGGACAGAAAGCTGTGAACATGAGGTTTGGGGTTTGTGAGGCTGATGCTTGTCAACGGCTGTGTAAAGCCCTCTCGGGAAAGAGGCAGGCACGGCCGTGGCTCTGTAACTCCCACGGGAAGGGCAGGACCGTGGCTTCTCTTCCACCTGCCCAGCAGAAGGGGCACAAATGTGAGTATTTTACTGAGGTTCTCAAGTGGATACATGGGCTGGGGATTTAGCTCCGTGGCACAAGCACCTGCCTGGCAAGTGGGAGGTCCTGAGTTCAATTCCCAGTACCAAAAAAAAAAAAGTGGATCCACCAGTTTGTATAATCATAGAAAAACACTGTTATCATCTCCACTGAGTCACGTATCTGTCATGCGATGCCTGGGCATGCGCCTCCACTGGTACAACAAGCCGCCACTTCAGGAACTAAGTGACGAGGTGAAAGGGCCTTGATTTTTTTTTTGGAGATAGGGTCTCACTCTGCAGTTCAGGCTGCCTTGAATTCATTTTGTAGCCCAGGCTGGCCTGAAACTCTTGACGACCCTCCTGCCTCAGCCTCTGAGTGCTGGGATTACAGGTGTGTGCCACCATACCTGGCTAAAGGCCTTCAGAGACAACTCTGAACGTAAACCTGAATTTATTTCATATATTAAATTTAAATATATCTACTACACTTTTTTTTTCCACTACATTTTCAAAACCATTCAATGCAAGTTTTCCCCTTAACATGCGAATGTTCTTTTTTAGTACTGACAGATAGGCCTTTGTGCCCTGCTGATACTTGGAGAGAAAAAAAGATCTTTAAAAGCCAAATGTGGGGCTGGGGATTCAGCTCAGAGGCACAGTGCCTGCCTGGCAAGCTCAAGGTCATGAGTTTGATTCCCGGTACCGGAAAAAAACCAAAACCAAAAAAAAGCCAAATGTGGCTAAGCCAGGTGTGGTGAGACACACCTGTAATTCCAGCACCCTGGGATGCTGAGGCAGGAGGCTCAAAAATTCTAGCCCAGCCCAGCCCAATTTAGTGATTTAGCAAGACTCTATCCCAAAGTTAAAAAAAAAAAAAAAAGGCTAGGGATGTGGCTCAGTGCAAAGGACTTCTGTTCATCCCTCGGTACTGCAAAGAAACAAATACTCATACAGGTGACTAATGACACTTAGTGTGATACCCAGTTTCTTAAATGTTGCAGCAGGCAGAGTATCTGTATAATTTTTAAATGGCTCAAACTTCTAAGAGGCCAGAGAACATTCCAAATAATCAGAGCAGGAGAAATGTTAGTCATGAAATCTGATGAACTGCAGTGCAGTGATGAAAATAACCTCTCAATACAGAAACGTTATCCATTTCAGACTGAAGAGCTTTGCTTTACTTAACAACAGGAGACCTTATAGCTTCACTCGACCACAAGACTCAGCACTTCTAACCCTAAGACGAGCTCGGATGATTCGGCACATGCGAATATCTAACCCATTTTCTCGTCTAGGAAAACCAGTAGCTGGGCACGGTAGTACACGCCTGTAATCCCAGCATTCTGCAGGCTGAGACAAGAGGATCGCCAAGAGTTCAAGGCCAACCTCTGCTGAAGGCCAGCCTGGGTTTAAGGCTTCCTGGCCAGCATGGACTGCACAGTGAGACCCTGTATCAAAAAACCGAAAAAAAGAAAAAAAAGAAAAAAGGAAGCGGTCCTCAGTGCGTGCTCCTCACTGCATTCCCGCACACCCTTCCCCCACCGGTCCGCGCGGGGTGGAGAGAACAGGCGCATCCTGCACACCATTTGTGTTTGCAAACGACGCCCTCGGCGTCACAGGGCCAGGAAGTGGCTCCGCGGCCTCCGCACTTCTGCGCCCTGGCACGAGAGCTCCGGGACTTAGACATGGCAACGTTACTAACCTCGCCAAGGAGTTACAGTCTCCTCCGCCGACGCTCCCGGAACACGTGCATACAGTTTTCTGGAGAACGAGTCTTTGCGTTTTGGAAGGCTTGAAAATGTTTATCCACTCCGCATCCGACATGTGGCCGGGGGCCTCGACAACCAGGTTACTCGGGTGGCAGCACGCGGGGTCACACACGTCACTGTCCTCCGGGCAGCCTTCGCTTTTCAGGCAGCACCGGATGTCAGGCCTTGCCAGGGGCTCGCGAGCGTCCCCGTCCCGCTTTTCCGCTTGTCTGTGGGCGAAGGCGCCGGCCAGGCCCGGGCAGACGTCGCCTGCGCGCCAGGGCTTCTCTGCCGGCGGCGCGCACGCTGCCGAGGGCTCGGCCTCTGCGCGCTGGAACGCGGCTCCGTTATCCTTCGGGGATTTTGCGTGGGCCGTGCACGATGCAATTTTGCTTTCAGGTTCAATCGAGATTTTCCCACCCAGAGGCCAAGACTTCTGTTTCTCCGTGAAGTCTTTGGTGAACAGAGACGAGAGAGTAATTACACTTTTTTCCCCGAGCGCGGTACTGATCTGTAGTCTCTTCTCTTTGCAAACATCGCAAGGGCTCTTCTCTGACCGATTGTGCTGAGCCAGCAAGGCCTCGAAGTTGTCCTTAAGCGGTGACTTCTCTCCCTTAATGCCAACTTTTGGATGGCTGTTTTCAAGGTCTGATAAACACATGTCTCCGCTACAGTGGCATTACGAAAAACCAGAGTTATAAGGCAGACTTTCTACCGCCACTTACTCCTATCTCCCCAAGCCTGGGTCTAGAGCTAACAGCACTGTGACCCCGCATCCTGCTTCTCAGAGCCCAGTTCCAGACCCCGCTCCAGCAGTCTCTTCCGACCCCAGGCTGTGTCACCTCCCCATCCCTACTGTGTCCTTACTACCCAAGTGACAAAAAAAAAAAAAGAAAAGAAAAGAAAAAAGAGAAAAAGAAAAATCAAGACTATTATGCAAGGCCGGGGATGAAGCTCAGTGGCAGAAGCACCTGCCTGGCAGGCATCAAGGTCCTGAGTTCAATTCCCCATACCAAAAAAAAAAGGAATACTATATAAATATGATGAAACATTTTAACACACCTTCCTCTAAGCTTTCTGTATTGTCTTTTTGAGACAGAGTGTCATTATGCAGTTCAGGCTGGCCTTAAGCTCACTTACGTAGCTCAGGTTGGCTTCCCAGGCTGGCCTCGAACTCATCTTGATCCTCCTGCCTCAGCCTCAAGAGTGCTGGGATAAGGTTTTGGTTTCTTTTTAATGTCACACAGATTCAGGTATCCTGACCGCCATCATTCTGCCCCTCAGAAACACAGCTCCTTCCTTCCATAGTGACATAAACCATGATGCACTTAAGGAGTGAGCCCGACCCACCCAGTACCTGCCATGGCAGGAAGTTCAAGTGGAAAAAGGGCCAACATGTCAGGGTTTGGCTAAGAGAATCCTAAGCAGCTGTGGTGTGATGGTGGCAGCAGCAGTGGGACACAGAGCAACAGGGCGACAACCCTCAGCAGCCTCAGAAGCAGAGTCCGGCAGCTCTGGCCTCCTGGGCCCTTCCTCAGAAGCCGGCTCTGCTGTGCAGCTCCGCTGTCCAGGGAGGAGCACCGGGGGCGTGGACCCGGCCGGAACCTGGTGGTCCCCCAGCCGCGGGCGGCTTTCCCCACCTCACTCCCTTCGGACTCAGTGTAACGTTTTGGAAATGCAGACTAAATGTTCCGTGGGGCAGTTACATGCCTGTTTGATTTAATTTTACAGAAGCTCACTGAACTTCCACACTACTGGTTTCTGTGAGGGAAGATCTCTCCGGCTAACGAGGCAAACAGAGTTGGGCACGGGGGTACAGCCTGGAATCCCAGCACTCTGCGAAGCTGAGGCAGGAGGACTGTGAGTTCTAGCACAGTCTCAACCACGTAGCAATTTGGTGAGACCCTGTCTCAGAACTAGATGCATGGGTAAGTGCATGGGTAAGAAGGGCCAGGGTGCAGCTCAGGGCCAAGGCCCTGGGTTTAATCCCTGCTAGAGGGGCAGGTATTTCAAGGACTAGGGAAACAGGAAAATCAGGCTAAGGGCAGAGGTCATCCTGAGAGCTCAGCTCCTGCTGCAGTCACTGGCGCTGCTCTTCGGGATTATTTCTTTGAGGCAGGCACCGCGTCCCATTCATCTCCATATTCCCGAGCCCTAGCCTCGCACCTAAACGCTGTGCAGAAATAGTGCAGGAAGGAGGCCTGGCTCATCTCCGCACTTCCTGCGCTAGCTCAAGCCTCCTACCCAACACACACGTCAGGTCTAAGGACTTTACTCTTTACCAAGCGGCTAAATTAGGGGCACACCTAAAACTCTCAGACCAGGTCTTTCTGCTGTCTAGGAGTATAATGCTTTAGCTTATATATATTTACTTCCCTATATGAGGAACTACAGTAGTCCCCAGCCTGTGGAAACCACCAAGTAAATACAAATCTAATGGTAAAATCAAACACAAAATCATATTCATCGCATCTGCTAAGATTACCTGGATTCCAGGGTCTTTGATTCTTCCATCTTTGAGTCATATATCTGTATAAATTGCTGAGAATTTTCCACATTGAAATTAAGAAACTGCAGATCACTCTGTTGTTTTACATAAATCTGCCACAGACATTGATAAATCAATATTAAATGTAATAACACAGTAAACTGAACCACAACTTGGCACTTTTAAAACCTAAAACAGTCCAGGAAGCTGCTACACAAAAGCTACACATGCTGTACTAAGATCCGGTGCAGCTCATTTCCTAACTCTTAATTACCACAGGCAACACCCTCCCTGCTACGCTAATGTCACGCCTCGTGTAGTCAGGGCTGCAGAGGCGCCCTGAGCCAGACCGACAGGCGCACAGCTTTCTCATCTGCGCCCGAACACTCCTGCTGTCCCGGAAGGACGGCTTAACGCGCACCTGTCTCAGGTTGTGGAGCTCCGAGTTTGTACGCTCTTGCTTTGACTTGGCAATGTCCAGTAACTCATCTTTCCTCTTCTCTCTTTCTACTATTTGAGAACAAAAAGTATTTCACAGTTTTATCAGCCGTATCCATGTAAACCTCTCCACTTCAAACAACTGAACAGGTGACGCTGTTTTTGTTGTTCTTGAACTTAAAATTGCAGGATGGCTGACAAGGAAGAGCTTCATTTGGGATTCTGACTAGACCCGTCAGGAAATGGGAGAGCCTCACAATGTAGTTGATACTAGGTCAAAAATGGATTTTAAAAAAATTTTAAAGGGCTGGGGATGTAGCTCAATGCAAAGGCCCTGGGTTTGATCCATGGTACTGATAAAAGAAAGTGCCTGCACTGGTATATAATCATGCCCAAGAGAGCCTGAGAGCAAGTACACAGAAGTGTTAAGAAGTTATTTTTAAAGCCGGGCGTGGTGGCCCACACCTGTAACCCCAGCACTTGGGAGGCTGAGGCAGGGGGATCATTGCAAGTTCGAGACCAGCCTGGGCTACAAAGTGAATTCAAGGCCAGCCTGAGCTCAGCAAGACCCTGTCTCAAAAAGACCAAAAGAAAAAAAAAAAAACGAAGTTGTTTTTAGGGACTGAGGCATAGCTCCCTCAGCAAGCATGAGGCCAGCACGCCCAGCAGCGGCACCAACACCACCATAAGAAAGAACCTACCAAAAGAAAAGAATTGGGGCCGCGGATGTAGCTCAGCGGCACAGCGCCTGCCTGGCAAGGGCAAGGTCCTCAGTTTGATTCCCGGCACCAAAACAAAATAAAAACAAAAAAGAAGTTTACAAAAGGAAAGAATCTAAGGGACTGTACCAGAGCATATATTAATGTTATACTGAAGGGGAAGTCATTTGACTTACACTGTACCCAGCATAGATACTTGTTTTGAATACAGTGTAACCCCTAAACAAAAAAGCCAACATTTTATTTATTTACATTTTGGTACTGAGGAATGAACCCAGGGCCCTTCACACTGAACTATATTCCCAGTCCATGCTCCTCTTTTTTCTGGGTTTTTTTTTTGTTTTGTTTTTTGTTTTTTGTTTTTTTGGGGTTTTTTTGAGACAGGGTCTCAATACATAGTTCAGGCTGGCCTTGAACTTACTGTATAGGCCAGACTGGCCTCAAACTCCCAGCAACCCTCCTGCCTCAGCCTCCCGAGTCCTGGGATTACAGAGGTGCACCACCAGGCCTGGCTCATGCTCCTCTTTTTTCAGTTTTGAGATAGGGTCTCACTATGTCACTATGCTCAGGCTGAGCTCAAACTTGTGATCCTCCTGCCTCAGCCTCCCAGAGTGCTGGGGTTGCAGGTGTGCAAAGCCACACTCTGCCAAGCCAACAATTTCAGGGGGATTTGAAATGTATTTGAATTTTGCCTTCATCTCTGATTTTAGAATGAAGCTGCGTGAGGCAACTCCTCTGTGCACACCACCGCTCCCGGATTCCAGGGTTCCTCTCCACAAGCAGAGAGCTGAGCGTGCGGTCTGCCGTGTGCACAGCTGGGCCCTGAGAGCTCACAGCGCAGAGCGCAGTGGAAAGGGCGCCAAGGTCCGAGTCTGCCGGGCATCTGCCTTTTACTGGATGAGGGGCTGGGACAAGGCCCAGTGGGAGGAGCCCTCATTATAGCGCTGCCACAGAAACCCTCCCCTGTGCAACCTCCTCAGGAGCACCGTGTACAAACAAGCAAAGCGTTCCAGCAAGCCTGTGTGAAGAGCTGCATCTTCAACATAAGGAGAAAGTTTTGAATTTAAAAATAAAATAGCCAGGTGTGGTGGCACACACCTATAATCCCAGCACTTGGGAGGCTGAGGCAGGAGGATCATTGTGAGTTTGAGACCAGCCTGGGCTACAAAGTGAGCTCAAGATCAGCCTGGATGCATAGAGAAACCCTGTCTCAAAAAGACACCCCCCAAAAAAGGTAAAATTTCAAGACATCTTCTAACTTCAAATAAAATGTGTTAACTTTTAACCATAGCACCTGAGAATGTACTATCATGTTAAGCCTTTTTCTTTTCTTTTTTACTTAATTCACTCATAATTAAAACATACACAGCCGGGCACAGTGGCACATGCCTGGAATTCCAACACTTGGGAGGCTGAAGAGGATGATGAATTCAAGGCCACCCTGGGCTACACAGGGAGTTCCAGGCCAGCTTGGACTACAGAGTGAGACCCTGTCTCAAAAACAAAACAAAACCAGCTTAACAAATGCCTTTCAAAATTATTTGACCTAGTTATATAGAGTAGGGTGTATGGGTTTAAACAGAAAAGAGACCTGGCCGGATGTGGGGGAAACACCTGTCCTAGCCCCTTGGGAAGACAGTTTGAGCCCAGGAGTTGGAGGCATCTCAGGTAAGACCTCTTCTCAGAAAATAAAAAATAAAAGAGCTCTGTGGGCCTGTGAGGCTCTCAGCATTAGCAGAGTTCCTGGCACACAAATGCTGATGCCAAGATCAAATTCATCTGCAGAGCTACAAACATGGCATTGTAGGGACAGGCTTCATAACCCACGCAGCGTCACCGGGACACAGCGACCCTAGAAGCAGTGGAGCGCTGCCCTCTAGTGGTAGAAAACTGCATTCTTCCCCAGTCTGTAAAGGCATGAAAATGAAGAATGGTTTTGTATCTGCAAATCATAAATGTAATACTGTGTTTCGCCCTTTAATTTGAGAGTACTTACTCTCTTCCTACAAGGAGGGTGATTTAGTACAGCTTTAAATTCTGTGCCTGGTTCCTCACCAATCCCTCAAAAGGAGGTTTATTAGCCAGATGTGGTGGTGCACGCTGTAATCCCAGCATTTGGGAGGCTGAGGCAGGAGGATTGTTGCAAGTTTGAGACCAGCCTGGGCTACAAAGTGAGCTCAAGGCCAGCCTGAACTGCGTAGAGAGACCCTGGCTCAAACAGAAAAAAGAAAGAAAGAAAGAAAGAAAAGAAAAAAAAAAACTATTTGCAGAGAGGTATATTTCTTTTCGCTGGTCACACAATGTCGGAGGAGACTGGGGTTACGAACATAATTACTCGATCACTTAAGCTAAGAATTTTTACCGGTGAAGACCAATTCATCATGCAGACAGCTCTTCTCCTGCTTGAGGCGGATGATCTCTTCCCTCTGGTCATTGTTTTCTGTCGTCTTTTCATTCAGGTCCTCTTCACACACAGAGGGGAGAAAGGCCTCAGATGAGCACTGGTTTCCTTAGAGAACCCTGGCCGGCCCACACCGAGGGGACCCTCAGAGCCCGCCCGGGTCTGCGCCCACACCTGGCTGGAGCCCGGGCCCGACGCTGTCCTGGCTCTGGCCTGCCTCTCCACTGAGGCACAGGGGACACGGGAGACCTTAGGAGGAAAAGCTGCTCCTACTTCTCCGTGAGGAGCCCTCCACCGTACTCCGGGGCACCCCGGACTCGCCAGCAGGCCCTGGCGCTGCCCTGGCTCCCGTCTGCCCGCTCTGTGCGCAGCGTCGGTGGTACAAGCAGAGGCATGTTTGGGTTTTGTCCTCTGTTCCCAGCAAAGGGCTTCTGCTGCTCATGGACTTTCCTGAGTGACAGGGGTGTCTCTTCACCAGGGCCCCTCTGGATCACAGCAGAGTTGATGTGAATGAGGTGACTCCGGGTGGAGCCCTGGGCAGCCTCAGGAGGGGCTGGTCACCAATGAGACCGGCTTGCAGCAGGAGGGTGGGCTGGAGCCTGAGCTCTGCACAAGGTCCTGGCCCGAGGCGCTGGCCTGGGGAAGGCCTGGGGCGTCTGCGGGCACCGCAGAGGTCACAGGCTCTGTGCTGAAAGCCCCTCCCCCGTCTGTGCTTTTTTTTTTTTTTTCCAGTACTGGGAATCGAACTCACAACCTCGTGCTTGCCAGGCAGGCGCTATGCCGCTGAGCTAGATCCCCTGCCCCCCCCCATCTGTGCTTTTGAGTAGTACCCTTGATAAAATCCAGCAAAAGGAGGGGCAGGCTAAGAAACAGGCCCCCTGAATTGGGGAGCCATCCCAGAAACGCTGGAACCTGAAGTGGCTGTCGAACCCCTGACTGACAGCTGGCTGAGCAGAAGTACAGATGACACCCGGGCTTGTGATGGGCTGTGAAGTAGGGACAGTCTCCAGGCCGAGCCCTTCACCCCAGGCGCTCCAAAACTAACTCGAGCAGGTGCTACCGGATCTAACTGGATGTCCGGTACACATCACATGGCTGGTATCGAGAAACCCAGCTTGTCCCGAGCCCCAGGGCTTCTGCACTTGCTGCCTGCTGCCCGGAAGGTCCCTGGCTGGGCCCTTCCATGGCCAGTGCTGCCCACAGTCCAGTTGTGGCTCCAGTTTTTCACGCTGGCCTTTCCAGGTCACCAGACTAAACGAGCCTGTCTCCCTTGCTCTCAGTCCCACTCGCCTTTACTCTGCTTTCCTTCTTTAAACATGCGTTTAATAAATATGGAGCTTTATAAAATACTCATATATATTGACACACCCAGCTTCCTTCTACTCCAGGATCCCACCCAGGCAGCACACAGATCCAGGAAGCAGGATACCACAGCATGGCCCAGCGTGGCTCTAGCAGCCGCTGATCCAGACAGGAGGGGACAGAGCCTGTCCCCACTCCACGGACCCAGGACATGACTCCAGTGCCAGCTGAAGCTGCACATGCTACTGACCATGGGTCAGGGATCTTAGGATCATGAGTTCAGAATGGAGTCTTTTCAACTACGTCAGCCAAGACAAAATTTCAGAATTTCAGAATTTTTTAGTTGGGAGAGGTGTAAAAGGCCCTCTAGCTCAGGATGCAGGCACCCCCTCCACGCCAATTCCTGGCTTGCAGATGCCCAGGAAGAGTAAGCCGCTGGCTCACGCAGCGAGCCACCCTGAACAGGCTAAGGACATCACCCCTGGTCTGTGGTTTTGTCACTGCCTCTAAGGGGGCTCACTCCACAGCAGAGCTGGTCCTGTAGTCTAGCGCAATAGCCATTTACAAAAGATGAAAACTCACTTTAACCAGGGAAGGTGGTGTAGGCCTGAAATCTCAGCACTATGATCACAAGTTTGAGCCTAGCCTGTCTCAAAGTTAAAAATAAAGACAAGGGCTGAGAATGCAGCTCAGTCTGATGCTGCGTGTACAGATTTAAGACTAAAATGGTAGCCGCAGTGCAACTGCTTACCCTGCTGCTCCCAGCATCCTTCCCCCTGCAGAAATGCCGGGAAAAGTGGGCCTAGCCCCACGCGTTGTCAGTGGACGTTCACATCACTCCCACCTATACCCACACCTGCACAGACAGCATGGCGGGCAGCAGTGCACCCCAAGGCGTCTGCCATACCTTGCTTTCATTTACTGCAAAACTTCAAGAAGCATGCAAGCAGAAGGGAGTGAATCATGGCGTGACTGTGAGAAGGAAAATGGAAAGAACCCAAAGGGAATTTGCAGAATGAGGCATGCACCCCGAGGGCGACCGTGGCAGGGGCAGTTCCTGGTCCCTCCCCGCACAGCGCGCACAGGATCTCCCGCCCCCACCATCTGTTTGGATTCGGCTGCACGGTTAACATCAGCCACCAGGAGACAGAGGTGACAGCGTGTCAGGTCCAGTCCTGAAGGCTTTTTGCTTTTTGAAACGGTCTCACTACGTAGCCTGGACGAGCAGCAATCTTCCTGCCTCAGTCTCCTGAGTGCTACAATTACAGGCGTGCGCCACCACGCCCAGCCACCCGGGGTTGAGTTTAAAGAGGCCTCGTGGTTCTGCTGGTTCTCTTGTGTTTGTGCCCTCGCCCTGGGAGAAAGGCCCTGGCTGGCCTCTGAGGAGCCGGAGATGAGCTGCCCTGCGGAGAGGTGGGGCTGGGTCCGTGTGGACCACCTCCCGCTGCGTGAGTGTAACCAGCGCTAGGGCTCCTGCCACGCTCTGTTGTCTCTAAGCACTTATCGGCATAGCTAGCGACAGGCACCTAAACAAAGGCAGAATCGTTTTTTGGTTTTGTTTTCTGTTTTGTTTTGTTTTGTTTTGTTGGTACCAGGAATCGAACTCAGGACCTTGCACTTGCCAGGCAGGTGCTTATGCCACTGAACTATAACCCCAGCTATTTTTTTGTTTTTGTTTTCATTTTCGAGACAGGCTCTTGCTTTGTACTCCAGGCTAGCCTTGAACTCATGGAGATCCTTCTGCCTCAGCCTCCTGAGTGCTGGGATTACAGGTATGTGCCACTATGTCTAGTGATTATTTTAAAAATATGATGCATTATGCCATTTGCCCCACCTGTTATTTATTACATAAAACAAAAATTGCAGCATAATTCTATATAAGTGAAACAGACATTTCATGTTAGAACCTAAAGCTAGGAGTAGAAAAACTCTCAAGTGTAAGATTAAGTGATGACAAATAAAGAAATATATTTCCAGGATAGCATATTACTCTGTGTGTTTGTTTTGGTTTTTTTGAGCAGGGTTGTGCTCTGTACCCCAGGCTGGCCTTGAATTTGCACTCTTCCTGCTTTCGCCTCCCAAGTACAATGTATTACCTCGTAAGCTTCTTTCTTACCTTTTAGTTTACTGACTTCAATCTTGAGTGCCTTCAGCTTCTGCTTGTAATCTTGCTTTTCTTTCACGATAGAGCTCTCCACCATCTTAGCGTCACGCAAAGCATGCTCTAACAATTTAAATTTACCCGAACAATCCGCAATGTGATTGACTGCCTCAATAATATCTTTGTCCTAAAAATCAAGTTTGAAAACGGTTATGCTAGATTTTAAAATCCCAACCAGTCGGTAAAAGATGACATTTGCTCAGATCCCACTGTGCTGCGGGTTTCGTTCTGAGCGCTGCTCGAGTTAACTGCTTTCCTCTGTAGCCCCGTGGTGATGTGCGCACTGCGGTCCTTGCCGAGTGACAGGAGTCGTCAGACACAAGAATCTGCTGTGAGTTGCCCATAGTCCACAACAAGTGGGCGTCACAGCCACCGTCTGAGCCCAGCTGGCCAGCCTCAGAAGCCATGTGCTATCACCATCCCTGATTATAGCCTGGAGTTCAGCTTTGATTACCTAGGACACCGGCCTGGCAGGAAGGCTGGCAGCCCTGGCACAGGGAAATGACTCTGGATGACAGGTAAACGCCATGGGTGCACTGTTTTCTCCCTTCTTTCAGCTTGTTAAGTGACAGACTCCAAGACCTCATCTCAAACTTAGCCAAATTAGAATCTCTTTTGTTGAGGTTGTTTGAAAAAAACAACAAAAAAGTTGGTTGTTGAAAAGCAAATTCAAATAATATCTAAAGTTCTAAAAATATGCCAGGTGAGATAGCACACTCATTTGTAATTCTAGCACTTAGGAGGCTGAGGCAGAAAGGTTACCTTGAGTTTGGGGCCAGCCTGAGCTACATAGTGAGTTCAAGAGCAGCCTCAACTATGTAACGAGACCTTGTCTCAAAAAAAAAAACAAAAACCTCTCACTCATATGGAATAACTATTATTACCAAGTTTCCCCACGGGTAGTGTTTCTGCTGTAGCATCACGGATATGTTCTGGAAAACTCAGTCGGACACCCCACACTAGAGGAGCTTCGGGGGACAACAGGGTGGAGGAGTCTATTCAAAACCAATGGACCTGTGTGAGGAGTGCCTAATGAACACACGACAGCACGTAAGTGCATGCTACAGACACGCATGGCTGTCACCCCACCCCAGCCAGCCTGGCACTTGTAGCCCCTGCTTCCAACTCTGCCAAGGACGTCCCAGAGGGCATCAGCTTCCACAAGAGGCCACGTTTATCTAAACACAGGTAATTCTGAGCAAGGTGCTTTCCACGAATTGACTATTTGAACATGAGCGAAATGACTCCATGGCATTTTCGTCAGGACTCACAGCCCGGCTGCGGTTGCTGCTGTGGACCCCAGGGCAGTTGCTGAGGCCACTAAAGTGGCCACTATGTAATTAAAGCAAATTCTGTAGATTTTAATGCTTCCCTCTTTTAGAGAACTTGCCCACCACCGTGTCAAAACCTTAGTGTGCTGGGGAAAAGTACGTGAGTTTTCTGTGACACGCGCCCCTCTCTACCAGCTGTCAGACACGCACGCTGCGGCAGAGGGCAGAGGGTCCCTGAGCAGCACTGGGCACCAAGGCTAGTGACTGCGCCAGCCGCGTGCTTGCTCACAGTTTCTCACCCCTTTTAGCAAAAAGAATTAACAAGCAATGTAGCTGGCCATGGTGGCGCACGCCTATAATCCCAGCACTCAGGAGGCTGAGGCAGGAGGACCATTGCGAGTTCGAGGCCAGCCTGGGCTACAAAGTGAGCTCAAGGCCAGCCTGAACTGCACAGCCAGATCCTGTCTCAAAAAGACAAAACAAAACAAAACAAGCAATGCGATCCCAGTAACTTCCTGAGAACTCGAAGCGGTTCTGGCCGTGGAGCGGCCTTGGAGGCAGAAGCCACAAGTGGGTCCTGCTTCCTCACTCAATGCTTTGGGGACCAGATTTGACTTGTTTCTAGTTTCTAAAGCAATCATTTAAATGACAGCAATGTTGGCACTCCGCATTTCTGGGTTGCTAAAACACTTAGGTGGGATACGTATGTGAGCACACTTTATAAGCTACAAGGGCTCTGGTGAGTGAGGGTGTAATTATTTTTAATTACCTTGAGCTTTATCATTGTAGTGAGAGCCTGTTCTCTAGCTTGTAATTGTCCCACCTGAGCAGAAAGTTCCACTAACGTGTTGCTGAGGTTCTCGTTCCTAGCCTACAAGGGAACAACACAGAAAATACTAATTGAGTCTTTCGGAAGCTTTTACTACTGCCACCAGCCACAATCTGTGCTTATTTCTCTGTTCTGTTTATTTTTATTTAACTTTTTAAAAGATCAAAGTGGGCTAAGTAGTCATCAAAAAGGAAAACAAATATCTACTTTGGCATTAACTCTATCCTCTCAATCCGGGCTACTGGAGTATATTGTAAAATGTTCAGGACCTAATATTTTGACATATAATGTTAGGTTGTGTATGCGTAATCATATAATTTTAGGTTGTTACATATAATTTTATAATATATAATTATGTATAATTTTAGAAGGAAGAAAATGAATGAATCCAAAATGGGTATTAAGAGATTTCCTTCCATGAAATAAAGTAGCATTAATGAATTCTGTGCATCTTTTTAAACTCTGTTGAAGGCTGGGCATGGTGGTGCATACCTGTAATCCCAGCACTCCGGAGGCTGAGGCAGGAGGATCACTGCAAGTTTGAGGCCAGCCTGGGCTACAGTGTGAGTTCAAGGCCAGCCTGAACTGCCAAGTGAAACTCTGTCCCAAAAGGAGACAAAAACAAAACAAAACAGGGGCAACCCACCCTGGCCCCCTCCTGTCTCTCTCACAGACAGAAGCTTTCTTTCCCCAATAAATATAGTCTGCTCTTAATCTCCATTGCTCCTAAAATTCATTCTTTGATTTTAGAGAACACGAACTCATCCCAGATATCTTTCAGGTTGGGAATTTCTTTCCCCTATATCATTTAGAGGTCTTCCATCGAGATCATTGGACAAGACTTAAAGTTATATGCCTGCCCAAGATGAAAATGCCTGGTGTCTATCAAGGGCCCCTTTTTTTTTGGTCTTTTTGAGACAGGGTCTTGCTATACAATTCAGGCAGGCCTTGAGCTCACTTTGTAGCCCAGGCTGGTCTTGAACTCACAAGGATCCTCCTGCCGCAGCCTCAGAGTGCTGGGATTACAGGCGTGCGCCACCATGCCTGGCTTTTTATTAAGGGCCTTTAGATAGACCCTCTGGAGAGTATCTCTGACTGCTGATCAACAACTACGACTCCCTTCAGCCCGAAGAAGCCAGAGGCATCATCGCCTGTCGTTCCCTCACAGCAGTTCGGGTTACTTCTTCAGATGGGGGAACGCTGGAGGCAACTGAGTTGACAGAAGTATTAGAAATACTATAGGCAGTCAGGGCCAGGCCCTCAAAGGAGCCAGTATGGAAGACGAGACACCTTGCAACTGTGGGGAGAGACAGGTATTTCCGCTGAGGGCCAGACCTCAAGACAAAAGATTAAACAAATGGAGCCGGGGATTTAGCTCAGCGGCACAGCGCCTGCCTGGCAAGCACAAGGTCGTGAGTTTGATTTCCAGTACTGGGGGGCGGGGTGGAGATTAAACAAATGCACCCACATACCTCCGTAGGGATGGACACCAGGAATTGATATTCTACATAGGTAGATCACCTTGAAGAGTCACTGACCCAGCCCCTTACAGGAAAGGCCCCTGTTCTCTATTCATGCCCGCTTGCTACATGACTCTTTCCCACTTGATCCCAATTTAATCAATTTTACCTGAACAATTATACTAGTAATCTTATTGGCTGACCAGTTTTGGCCCACCTCATGCCCACCTTGCAATTTCCCATTTTTCCCACCTTGGAGCCCCCTCACCTCAGGGTTTTGCTCTATAAAAGTCCCTGAGAAAGACAGGTTCCTGGGCAACCCACTGGGGCCCCCTTCTGTCCCTCTCTTGGACAGAAGCTTTCTTTCCCTCAATAAATATATTCTGCTCTTAAAAAACAAACCCCCAAAAAAGCTCTGATGAAAGAAGACCTCACACTGGGGTAGGGATACACACTGTTAGGCACTTACCAAATCCCACACAAGGTGAAACACAGGAGTGGGCCCTTACGTAAACAGTGATGTGTACACGTGGGCTCAGCAACCCTAACAAACACCGCAGTGTGGGGGGCGTGCCTGCAGGGACACAGGCACATGGGGGGGCACCCTGTACGGCTCACTCAACCTTGCTATGAGCCTAAAACCACTCTAAAAACAGTCCACTGATTAGAAAGACGCCTTCTTCTTTCACCCAACATATCATAGATTCTACAATAGTTTTTTATTTTATAGCTAGAAACTATCTGGAATAGTATTCTAGAAAAGGGACATAAAACAAGCTCTATCCTCTCACTATGGATTATTAAGACTCATTATATTACCAAGACCTATACTGAGTAATGTTATGAAACAATTATACAAAGGATATAACAAAGCCAAATCTGGCTTTTTCTCTGGGCCTTACATAACAAATAAGATTAAAAAAAATACATGACAGCTGGGTGTAGTGGCATACACCTGTAATCCCAGCACTCAGGAGGCTGAGGCAGGAGGATCATTGTGAGTTCAAGGCCAGCCTGAACTACACAGCAAGACTCAGCCTCAAAAAACAAAACAAAAAGAAATATATACATGGACCTCAGAATACAAAACTGAAAGATAAGACTTACAGATTTTATTCCCTTATGGTACTCCTCCCATGGAACTAGTACGTTTATTATGTCAGGTAAGACTCAGAATTTAGAAGGCAGAGTCTGAAGCTACCAGAACCCGATGATACTCATTCCGGACTTTGAGAAGGTTTTCTGTAACAATGCATTGCCAATAAGAGCAGATGCTACTAAACCAAGCAGCAAAACAGTTAAGCAAGGGTTGTAAGAAGGCCTGGTCTCCAGAACAGGGCAGTGACGTGCCGTTTTCCGAAACAGTAGGAAGAAGCAAAGCTAGAACGGATGCATGCAGAATGTCACACAAACATACACGTACACTTTCATACATGTATTTTTAATGAAAACATTTCAAGCTTAGCTTTTTTGGGGGGTCGGGGAGACAGGCTCTCACTATGAGCTCAGGCTGGCCTTGAACTCACCACATAGCCTAGGCTGGCCTCAAACTCACAGCGATCCTCCTGCCTCTGCTTCCTGAGTGCTGGGATTACAGGTATGCACCACCATTCCTGGCAATCAATCTTAAGTTTTTAATAACTGAAGAACGAAGTGTGAGCTGATGAAAGTTCTCAGAAAATAAAACCAACCTCAAGGTCTTCAGAGAGGAGGGAAGAGTGCGTTGCCTTCTGAGCCATCTCCTGAAGCTGCAGCTGAGTCTTCTGAAGAGCAGTCTGACATTCCATCTGGTTGGACTCCAGGACTTTGACCTTCTTCATGAGTGACCTGATTATTTCGGTTCTCTTATGCAGTTCACCTGTGGGAAATTTCACCAACTTGTTTGTGGTTGGATCTGAAGCTTGACATACAGTATTTTCCAAGTCAGTGGTTTAAAAAGCGAAAGTGTGCCAAAGAACTTTTAGAAGACAGTTCTTTCAGAATGTTTTCCTGTGAAATGCACAGTACTGAACTTTAGGAAACCAACGCTGGCAGGAACCCTGAAGCCCCCCAGGCATTACAACCTGAACACAGCCTCTCCCATCTCTACCTCCCACCCCAACCCTGACCTCAATCATTTCCTTGCTTTTTATTATTGTTCTACTAGCTGTGACTGCATTCCTAAAAATGTGGTTTAATCTGAAGCATATACAGATGGAAGTGTACTGTATGATTTTCCTACTTGCATCTTTCATTTAAAATTGTGTCCTGAGACTCACCCACAGTGTTATAACTCATATTTGCTATTAACACTGCCATTAGTCCACTGAATGATACACCAGAATTTATCAATTCTATTACTGCTGGTCATGTGGGTTATTTCCACTTCACAGCTATTATTATTACTTTTTTTTTTTTTTTTTTTTTTTTTTCTGGGTTTTTTTTCCAGTACCGGGAATCGAACTCACGACCTTGCACTTGCCAGGCAGGCGCTGTGCCGCTGAGCTAAATCCCCAGCCCCCACAGCTATTATAAGTAATGCTGCTATAAATATTTTTATATGAGTCTTGGTGCATATTTCCATGTTTCTCTAGAATGCTGCTACTCAAAATATGGTCCTTGAACCAGCAATCATGGCATCATTGAGGAATTTGCTAGAAATAGAGACTTTTGGGCCCCAAACCTATTGTATCAGGTTGTTGTTCATGCTAAGAACTGAACTCAGGGCCTCAAAAATGTCAGGGCCTCAAATGCCAGATGTGGTGGCACATGCCTGTGATGCCAGCACTTGGGAGGCTGAGGCAGGAGGGACACTGTGAGGTTGAGACCAGCCTGGGCTACATCATAAGTCCAAGGCCAGCCTGAACTGCATAGGTAGACTCTGTTTCAAGAATAAAACAAAAAACTCAAAATGTGACACACACAGTTTACCACTAAGCTAAACCCCAGCCCATAATCTCCATCTTGGTAAGATCCTCAGGCAGTTCACTGCACATTAGAGTGTGAGCATGCAGAAGCAGAATTCCTGGGTCACCACTGGAACATGTCCCAACTGCTGAACACCCCTCCTAGGCCTGCTTCTCTGCAGCCTTACTAGACACTGAAACGACTGCCCAAAGGAGCTGTGTCACGTGACTCCTCCCAGCAGCATCCGGGCCTTCCCTGTGCCCCTGTCCTTGCATCCAGGTACAGTGCCCAACCCACTTAGCTCCCAAGATCAGACACAGCAGGGGCATTTGGGGGGATGATAGGGGTCCACATTTTTACTAACATCTGGCAAGTTTTACCAGTCTGTTTTTTTCCAGTACCAGGAATCGAACTCATGACCATGCGCTTGCCAGGCAAGCGCTGTGCCACTGAGCTAAATCCCCAGCCCCCTAGTTTTACAAGTCTGGTAAATGTAAAATGGCATTTCACTATGGTTTTATTTATTTATTTATCTATCTATCTATCTATCTATCTATCTATCTATCTTTCCAAGACAGGGTCTTGCTATGCAGTTCAGGCTGGCCTTGAGCTCACTTTGTAGCCCAGGCTGGCCTCAAACTCCAAACGATCCTCCTGCCTCAGCCTCCCCAGGTGCTGGGATTACAGGTGTGCACCACCATGCCCAGCTTCACTATGGTTTTAATTTGCATTTCCTAAAAAAAAAAATTGCATTTCCTTACTTTTTTTTGTACCAGGAGTCCCTAATTACTAATGAAAAGTTCTTAATATATTTGTAGGCCATTTGATTTTCCTTTCCTTGAAGTGTCTGTTCAAGTCTTGCTCATTTTATGTGTGTGTGTGTGTGTGTGTGTGTGTGTGTGTGTGTGTGCTGAACCCAAGGCCTTTGCACTGAGTTACATTTCCAGGCCTTTTAAATTTTTTTTTATTTTGAGATAGGATCTAACAGAGTTGTCCAGGCTGAGCTCAAAGTTGAGATCACCCTGTTTCAGATTCCGAGAGTGCGGGGATTATAGGAGTGTGCCACTAGGCCCACCTTATTTCTTTTTTCAAGCAAGTATTTTAAATACTGTGTGTGTTTATGTGTGAGTGTAAGTGTGAAAGTCAGATGGTCATCAAGGAAATGTTAAAACTGTATGTCCTGTTTGCCTGTATCACCTTTATGCAATGTAAGTAGAACAGATGCTGCATGATTGTTAAGAAGACCTAGCGTTTTCCACTGTAGTAACAATCTGGTTTCAACGGGACACTGAAATTGAAGGCAGCACTAAAAGGGTGACAGAATTAAAATACAGTACAAAAGAAAACGTACGCAAGCTGTGTGTGAGAGTGCTACAGATTAAAAAGACAACTATTTTAGGTACTTAGGCTCAAGTTCAACACCAAAAGTTTCGACTTCCTCAGCTCAAGAGAGAGGCTGTTCAGCCGCACGGAGTCTTTCTTCCTACGCCTGCCCAGACGGCTTCTCCCGGGTCGCCCAGCCGCTTCCGCTGCGCTCCTGCACCGCGGGCAGCGGCCGGGAAGGTGCGCCCTCTGCAGGGCGTACGCCGAATCCCTCTCGGGCCCTCCCAACAGGCCGGCGCTGAGAAGGGCGCCCCCCGCTGCCGGGAGTGTTTCTACCTTCCAGCTTGCTGCAGCGCTCCTCCAGCGTCAGCACTTTCTGCCGGTCCTCCTCCCAAGACAGCAGCTGCCTCTGATGCACCGCCACCATGTCGTTGAGCTCTTTATCCCGGTCTTTCAGTTCTCCGATGAGCAGCTGCAGCTCCTTGCGCTGTTTCTCAATGGTGGAATTCTCACTGTCTGACCCGATGTTCTAAACATGGGAAGTGGTTTTTCAGCAAAAGAAAACTCAGTAATGTAAACCAGCCAAAGCATATTTTCCAAATAATTATATTCTTTTGTTGCCCATTCTGAACAGCTAAATTTTATTCCTTTAATAACAGTGCATCAAAGTACGTACGATGCACCTTCAAACCCAGCATGCACCCGCCTCTATCGCTTCCAGTCCTATCACACACAATTCTTAAAAAGTAAAACTGCTTCTAAGCCGGGTGTGGCAGCACACCCATGTAATCCCGGCCTGGGCTACACAGTGAGTTCAACACACCAGTCTGAACTACGTGAAACTCTGTTTCAAAAAAAAAAAATCTTCCACTGGTAAATCACAAACACATTTCTGCTTTTTTCCCCACCTTTGCTATCAACCAACAATGTTATCTTCCACCTTGTCCTACTAATTTTGTTTATTATGTGGTGCTGGGGATTGAACCCAAGGCCTTGTGCATGCTAAGCCCATGAACTACACTGATCTGTGTTCTCAGGCCCTGCCCCAGCAGTTCTGGAGTAAAAAAGTAAAGATAAACATGAAGTACTGGTTAGATATAAATAATTGTTATTAAAGAATGAAAACGTTAGCCTATAAAGAATTAGGTCAGGCCAGGGATTTAGCTCAGTGGCACAGCACCTGCCTGGCAAGTGCGACGTTGTGAGTTCAATTCCCAGTACACTCCCCTACTCACCGAAAAAAGAATTAGATCCTAAATATTTATTTCAGCTATATCTGACACATCAACATACATTCGATCTACCAAGAACAATTTAATATTGTTACTGACCCAAACTCCAAAACAAATCTTATAGCTGCATGTGGCAGCCATGCCTGTAACCCCAGCACTCTGGGAGGCTGAGGTAGGAGAACTGCACATTTGATCCCAGACGGGCATCTAAAATATTTTAAAAGGGTGAGGGATGTAGCTCAGTGGTAGAGCACTTGCCTACTATGTACAAGGCCCTGAGTTCAATCCCTAGTACCACCAAAAAATATATATAAAAGAAGATTTTGCTACATATCTGCTCAATTTTCTTTTTCCTCTTCATTATTTATAAGAAATACATCATTTCTCCTTATATGCTCCCATACTCCAATATACATATCTAAAATGAGCGTTCCTTATATAGTCACAATGCCATTTTCATACCTAACAATATTTTTTTGAGACAGGATCTTGCTATGCAGTTCAGGCTGGCCTTGAACTCATTATGTAGCCGAGGCTGGTCTTCAATTCTTGGCACTATTCCTGCCTCAGCCTCCAGAGTGCTGAGATTACAGGTCTTTAGCACCATCCCTGGCTTTACCTAACAATATTATCTACAATAACCTCTCTCTCTCTCTCTCTTTTTCTCTCTCTCCCTCCCTCCCTCCCTCTCTGTCTAGCAGTGTGGAAATTGAATCCAGCTTTCCACTGAGCTATATCCTGTTTGTTTCTTTGCTTTTTAGAAATAGTTGCCCAGGATAGACTTTGGCGTCCTCCTGCCTCAGCCCCTCAGACTGCTGGGATTACGGACATGTGCCACCAGGCTGGGTTCACAATAATTCCTTTTAAGCACACGTCATTTTAAAGTCTAGTGCACTGAAGTTTGTCTTAGCAAAATGTAGCTCTAGAGGTAGAAGTTAGTTAACTTCTCTAACCCTTAGCTTTCTCACCTGTAAAATGTAGAACAGCTTAACATTATAAAATTGCTTAAGCCAGAAAAAGCTCTGTAAAGCACTTAACACAGTGCCTGGCACTCAATAATCACACACATTAGCAATTTTTAAGACTATAAAACACATTTTAAATTATGGTGCTGTTGAGTTATGACACTCTTCCCATCCACGAAGTGTTACTTTAAGCGTATCTTAAAGCCAGAAGTTAAACGTCCACCAAAGATCCATGAACATCATTATTGCTTTTTTTTTAAACCAGGATCTCCATAAATTGATAAATTGCTCAGACTGAGTTTGGATTTGGGATCTTCTTGTCTCAGCCTCCCAGAGTGCTAGGATTACTACTGCTTTTTGAAAAACAAGATTTGTACATAGCACTGAGTGTACTGGCACACATGCCTGTAAAGGCCCAGGAGGACCAGGAGTCCAAGTCCTGCTGGGCTACCTGAAGAGTTCTCAAGGCTGGCCCCGACTATATAGGAAGGGTCTGTCTCAAAAAAGATAGACACTGTATAGACAGATACAGAGACACAAATATATAGTGATAAATGAATTGTAATTGCTTATCAGTAATTAAACTCAGAAAACGTAATTTGGACTCAGACCTGAATTCGTTAGCCTGCAAGTATTTATGGAGCGCCAGGGGTGGGGGACACAGCCCTGCGCACACCGCGCAAGCACGTATTCCAGTGCGGGAAAATGAATAAGCCAAACATGTTCGTTTTAGCTGGGAGCGTTGGCCCAAGTCTGTAATCCCGGCATTTGGGGAGGTTCAGGCAGGAGGATCACAACTTCGGGACCATCCTGGGGTACATACACCCATTTCAAAAAAACAACAACAAAAACCCCATAAACCAACAACAACAACAACAAAACAATAACAGAAACGAACGTTCGTTTATCTCCCATCCTGACGAATGCAGACTCTGGCAATTCCCTTCGGGACTGTTTAGACGGAATTAAGGGCGCCCCGCACTCGCCAGGAGGGCGAGCGCCACCGAGCGGGACACCGCGCTAAAATGCCAGCTGTCACCGTCAAAGCGTCCCCCCGGGCCCCGAGGCGGAGCTGAAGCCGGGTTCCGCCGGCACCGAGCCGTTTCTGCGGCGCACCGGAAGTGGGCGGCAGCCAGGAGCTGGGCCCACCCGCACGGCTCTCCCCGCGGTCCGCCGCCCCCGCCCGAGCGCACCTGGCGCCGGGCGAGGAAGGTCGCCGAAGGGTTCATAGGTGTTGCCTGCGCCCGCGGGGAGTCGCTGCCGCAGCGTCACCTCAGAAACGCCATGGGCACGCCTGGCGCTGGCGGGAGCAGCGGGACGAGCCCAGCGCGGAGCCCTCGCCGCCACGCGCGCGGCTTAACCGCCGGCTGCGCCTACGGCGTCGCGAAGGGGCCACGCGCCTCGCCTCCGCGCTCCAGCTCCCAGGGTCGCTCGTGGTTCCGTCTTCGGCTTTGGCGGGTTCTCCCAGGCCCTCTTGTTTTTTCCTTTACGTTCCAGGGCCTTCACACTGAAGTACATCTCCAACCCCTTTTTTATTTTTTAAATTTTGCGGCAGTGTCTCGCTAGATCTCTAAATTGCGCATACTGGGTTCAGACTGCAGTTTTCCTGCCTCAGCTTCCCAGAGTGCTGTGCTTAGAGGCATGTGCCTCCATGCGGCTGAGCACAGGGCCAGTTCTTCACCATCACCCAGTGAAAGTGAATCAAGTTAAAGGTTGTTGGTAGGTCCCCATGGAGCCCAGGGCCTCGCACATGCTAGACAAGCGCTCTACCCCTGAGCTACATCCCACCCATTTAAAAATTTGAGACAGGGTCTCGAAAGTCGTCTCGGTTAGCCTCCAACGTGCAATCCATCTGCCTCTGCCTCCATAGCAGGTGGGATTACAGGTGTGTGACCCTGGGCCAGGCTACCCTCTGGCTTCACGACTTAAATTGCTCACTCTTTCCACATCCTTCCTTCACTGAGCTCAGCCCTGTTTCCTGCCGGGAACACCTGGCCCTGAGAACAGGACTTGGCACGCGGGTGGATGAATGAGAGGAGACAGATGCGGAGTCCTGGCCGCTCTAGCAGACCGGCCGACACCAGGAGACACGGAAGATTGGAAAAATGTATTTTTGCTCTTGATCGTCAGTGAGAACCGTGGCAATTTCTCACAAAACAGACATTTTGGGGTTGAATGTAATAAGCCTTTTACATGTTCCACAGTCACCCCTCTTTCCCTTTTCCTCTTGTTAGGCAGAAAAGGAACTGGGTCGGGAGAAGTTGCTAATCACACTGAACCCCTGGAGGTCCATTCCCTAACGCTCAACCATTAGAAAGGGTCAGAGGAAAGGCCGATCACCAAGTATTTCGGTTACTTTCTGGCTGAGAATGAATTAGCAAGCACATATCCTTGTGTTCATGAGAGACCATCTGAAAATGGAAAAACTGTCTAGATGTCCCACCAAAGCCTCATGCAGTCACGGGCATGGATTCTAGAGTTCATGATTGATTCATGGTCCAATGCTGGGATTATGGGTGAGTGCTACACCCGCCCTGGGGCAGGCAGCCACAATACAGCATGAGGGAAGGAAAGAGGCTTGGTCTTTCTGCTCCTCCGATTTGCTCTTACTGCTTTTGTTCTTCTCTGCTGCCATGAACTGTTGCTCGCTGCCATGTGCCACCTGTCTTGGAGCCTGCTGAATTTGGACTGAAACTGTGTGCTAAATAAACCTTTCCTTCAATTTAGACATTGGGTATTTTGTCTCAGCGAGAGAAAAGTAACCAAGACAGGTATCTTGCCTTGAATCTTTATTGGTTTGAGTGACATCTACCTTAGTTTAGAAAAACCAAAACAGTGTCTTAGAAATTAAAACCAAGGAAGCACATTTGGACTAGCCATTAAAACATGCCAGCCAGGCATGGTGGTGCACGCCTGTAAGCCCAGCACTGGAGAGGCTGAGGCAGGAGGATCGCTTTGAGTTTGAGGCCACCCTGGACTACAAAGTGAGTTCAAGGCCAGGCTGAACTGCATAGTTAAGACCTTGTCTCAAAAAAGACCAAACAAAAGCAAAACCCAGCTAGCCAGCCAGGCATGGTAGCACATGCCTCTAATCCCAGCACTCTGGAGGCTGAGGCAAGAGGACCACTATGAGTTCAAGGCTAGCCTGGACTACATAAAGACCCCACGTCAAAACAACAAACCAGCTAGTCAGAGCCAAGTGCAGTGGTACACACCTGTGATCCTGAGGTGGGGAGGCTGAGGCAGAAGGATCGCTAGTTTAAGACCAGCATGGACAACCTAGCGACAAAGCCAAACCCTGTCTCAAAATACAAAATAAAAAAAAGGAGTGGGATGGGGATGTAGCTCCATGCTCTGCAGGGTGCCTCAGTTCAATTCCTCCATACCCCAAAAACAAAACACAAGAACAGGTAGCCAGGCTTTTATCATGAAAAATACACCAAAAATCCCACTTATTCATGATACTGAGGCAGGAATCCAAGTTTGAAGTCAGCTTGGGCAGTTTAGCAAGACCCTGTGTGAAAACTGAGAAAGGACTGGGAGTGTAGCTCAGTGGCACAGCCCTTGTCTAGCATGCACAGGGCTGTGGGTTCAATCCCCAATGTTGCAAAGAAACAAATGTACAACCCAACCACCAAACCAGCTTCTCAGATGACTGCAGTAAGCCCTGAAACGCCACTGTTCACCAGGCAGCCATACACCCAGCACAGGCAGTGCGTGCATGCAGAGGACAGTGAGAGATCAGGAGTAACAGTAAGTGAACATGGCCAGAGGAGTATGATGACTAGGTGCAAATTAAAATCTCAGTGCTTTACATTCACCCCCACAGGTTTCCTTCAAAACAAAAAATCTTGAATTCCCAAGAAAAGGAATTTAGTAAAGACAGAAAAGGGAGAACTCAACTAATTTGTGATCTTTTAGCTTTTAACTTTTATTAGTACATGTTTGCAGTACATGATTCACAGGTCATATCTTAAGCACAGCTGACTTGAACGTTTTTTTTTCCCTAAGACATTCTTGCTACGTAGCCCAGGCTGGACTTGCACGCATGATATTCCTGCCTCAGCTTCCAAATGCTGAGGTTACAGGTGTGTGCCACCATGCCCAGTTTACTTGAGACTTTTATGTAATAACCAACTGGACCTTAAAATTGCTTTTTAGAAAATGAATGAAGGGGCTGAGGATTTAGCTCAGCGGCACAACACCTGCCTGGCAAGCACAAGGTGGTGAGTTCAATTCCCGGTAGTGGAAAAAAAAAAATACTACATATTAAAATTATACTTGCTGGGCCAGGGCTATAGCTCAGTGGCACAGCGCCTGCCTGGCAAGCAGGTCTTTAGTTCAATTCCCAGTACCAAAAGAAAAAAAAATCTTGGGCTGAGGATATAGCTCAGTGGCACAGGACCTACCTGGCAAGCACAAGATCCTGAGTTCGATTTCTGGTACAAAAAAAATAAAACTATGTGCATTTGAAATTGCTAACTTAATCACAGCAAATTTCTTATACATACTGAGGGCAAGGCCACTTGAAGATTCATATGCTTTGTTAAAAAATACTAGACTGAGGATGTTAATTAAAGTCAATTTATGAAATATGGACTTTTTTTTGCTACCTGGAATTGAACTCAGGACCTTGCACTTCCCAGGCAGGTGCTTGTGCCACTGAGCTATATCCCTAGCCTGAAATATGGACATTTTAATCAGAGATTGATTTTTTGGTTTTTTTTTTTTTTTTCTTTTTTGGTTTTTTTCTGGTACTGGGAATCAAACTCACGACCTTGCATTTGCCAGGCAGGCTCTGTGCCGCTGAGCTAAATCCCCAGCCCCTTAATCGGAGACTGAAATACAGCGTTTTAAATTTAAGTAAAAAAACCCTCACATGTATGTTACCTGCAAGGACAATTCTGACTGCAGGGCATCCACTAGCTGTACATGGATTGGAACTGCATTTGCCAAGAATTGGGAACATTAAGAATTTTTTTCTTTTTTCTTTTGGTTTTTCTCCAGTACCAGGAATCGAACTCACGACCTTATGCTTGCCAGGAAGGCACTGTGACACTGAGCTAAATCCCCAGCCCCTGGAATATTTTTCATGAAGTCACATATATGGTTGTTTTTGCAGGACTGACACTGGACTCAAGGCCTTCACACTGATCCACATCCACAGCCTTTTTATTTTCAGATGCTCTACCCCACTAAATTGCCCAGAGTGGTCTCTAATTAATAAGCCTCCTGCCTCAGCCTGCTGGGGTCCTAGGATTATGCGCATGCACCACTGCAACTGGCTAACATCATATGTTGACATATGCATAGATATCTACCAGCACCAAAAGAATACATATATAACACAGGCTAATTTTTCTTTTTTTGAAGACAGGGTATCACACTGGCCTTCAACTTGTGTTCCTTTGCCTCAGCTCCCAAATGCTGGGATTACAGCAGTGCACCAGCACGCCCAGGCAGTAAATGGTCTTGATGAATACATCTGCTTCACTAGGTAACCCTACCAGGAAAGTTCAGTTAATGCAGGGTATCATTTTTAAATGTACACCTTTATTTCACATTTTTCTGACATAATTTTTTAGAAGTCTTTCATTCAAGATTGTAATTTATTTATTTTTGTCTTTTTGTTTCTTTTAGGGTCTTGCTATGCAGTTCAGGCTGGCCTTGAGCTCACTTTGTAGCATAGGCTGGTCTCAAATTCGCAAGGATCCTCCTGCCTCACCCTCCTGAGTTCTGGGATTACAGGCATTCCTCAGGCTCGGGATTGTATTTTAAGAGCAACATTGATTTCACGCGTTCTAAATTTCTCCACCCACCTTTTCTCCTACCTCTTCACCCAGCCCTGGCTCTAACTGAAAGTTCTCTAGTTTTTGTTTTCCCCAGAGGTTGTTTGGAGGTACTGTACGAAGGACTGAACCCAGGGCGTCACATGTGCTAGGCAAGTGTTCTGCCACTAAGCCACATCCTCTGCCAATTTCATTTTTTTAAATTATTATTATGAGACAGGGTCTGGCGAAACCGTCAGGCTGGTCAGCCTCCTGAGTAGCTGAGATTACAGGCATATGCCACCATGCTAAGCTGCAATTTTTA